TTTCAGGTGTTAGATTGAAAATAAAATATCTATCCAAATATAGAAAAAGGCTTTGAAAACAATGAAGCGTATGGTCGTTGGAGAAAGTGATATGATGACATCGATCATGTTTCAATCTTCCTTGTAAAAGGCCTGTGACAGTAGTTTTACTAGCCGGCAGTTGTAGCATCCGGCTAGTGTTTACAAAAGGTCACTGACCACTAGCATAGGGTAGGAATCATCTTGATACAGTGTTAATTTATATCAATATCAAAATGCAAAGTGCTTTTTAAATCAACACTTAGGAAATTTATTTTTACAGAAGTCCAAATATTGAGAGAGCACATTTCTATCCAAGCTTGTTAGTCCTGCATTCTGATTTAAACAGAATAAGTCAAAGATGGCATTTCTTTAATAAGTAGCGTTCCTTTTCCCCTATTTATTATTTCTGCCTTAGTGGTGTTCCAGTCCTACAGGGCTTGTGCATTTGCAGGAGACTTACTCAAGTCTATTAAAGATGCAGTATCTCTCTTTTTTTCACAAAACATAACTTGCTACACCAGCACTAGGATTCTCTCGAAGCATCAGTTCATAGGTTAGTCCTGGTTTAACGTATCCTGGGTTAAGGATGCATCCTCGTGGCATTTATTTTCCTTGTATGAGAATGTCTCAGGAAAGGAAGCATTCTGTGCTGCTGATGTCTCCTTTTTCAGACTCTACTTGCAAAAAGAAACTGGCTTGCTTGGGTTTTCACTGTAAGGTGGCCTTAAGTGAAAATTGAAGTTCTTAGGTTTGTGTTCCCTTGGCTTGTTTATGTTGCATCAAGCACTTTTGAAATATTTAGGCCTTTCCAAATAAGGTGTCCTGTTGTGTCTTTCCCCCACCCCTGCTTTTTTTCTTTTCTTGTACACCTTCCAAATAACAAAAATGTCAAGCTCCGTCTTCCCTGGTTTTGTTGGAAGGTGTACTAGAAATCTCAGCCTGGATAGATGAGCTTTGTTAAGCTTCCAGTTTTTTAAAGCATGGGAGACCAAATCTTACGCACACGTTTCTTCCTCTGACAGTTTATGATGCATTTGAATTGTTTCAAAAAGGCCAAATATTCTGATGAAGAAAGGCATCACTTTTCAGGCAAATGAAACTTGATTCTCTTACTATAAACCCTGCAGTTCTCCCCAAGAAATGTTTCATCTCGCCTTTCCAGCAAGATAGGGCCCTGCCTAGTTTCAACTATATTAAGTGTGTGAAGAAAACAAATCTTTCACACCTGCTTTAAACAGTGTAGTAGAGTGCGCCTCAGGGAGATTTCTCGAATAACTTTGTTGCAGGTCACCTTTTAAAGCAATCGCTTACTGAAGGCAGCTAGCTTCAGTTCGAAAACACACAACAAGTTTTGGCCTGATCTTGGCATCTGTGCTGGAATAGTATGCAGCTGAGGTACTGACGTTGCCAGTTTCCCATAATTAGGGTGATGGGTGGGGAAGTTAAGATGGCTTAGATTTTATCTTGACTTACTATCCCAGTTTTTGTGATGTCCTATTAAGTTGGCTATACTTTAGAAAGCTGGTGAAGACAGCTAGTTTTAAAAATGAAAACGGAGACCTTTATAGAAATATTGCCTGGCTTTTGATTTCCAAGTTTAAAATTAACTTTTTTTCAGGACCTTTTTGCCCGGCATGTCTTCATCTTCCCCTCAGTCTAATTGACACTTTGGTTTGGGGTTCTATAAAGAAGCCTGGTCCTGCCACATGGCTTCTCAGATTAGTCCCACTAGTTTCGATGCCACTGCCTGTAAGTTATAGGTCATAGCATACAATACATCCTAACAAGGGGCTTTGAAGGATATCAGTTGTTTCTCCCATCAGGACTTCCTTTCTTACCCCTGCAATTATCCATTTGGACTCATACCCAGGAACGTTACTGTTTGAAGTTCTACGCCCTTGAGTATCTGATGGGTATGGTTTTCCCTCCCCAGCATTTTTGTAAATAATCCTTATAAACTGGATGGATCCACACTCCGGTGACCTTTACTGGCTTCTCAGTTGACCATGACTTGTCCTTGCCTACAGCTCAAAATTTAATTGGACAAGCATTGAGACAGCAGCATAACCTGGAAACATTAAGGTCCAATCAGGTTCCTATTAAAAGTCAGCATCCAAGTTCCCATTGGTTTCAAGGGCATATGTTCAGACTCTTAAGAACGACATGAAGTTCCACATAAAGATACCAGCTGCACAGTCTCCACGCCATATATTTTTTTTAACTCTTCATCTGGAGAGCAGAATATTTTACTCTTTGGAGTCCTTGAAAACCTCTGCATTTTCCCTACAGCAGGGAATTGATTAGGTCGCATGGTTTTGTCAGTGCCTGATACTGAACAGTATGCATCTTCTACGTTGGATTGATCTGGGTGACAGAAGTCAATCAAAACCACATCCTCTTTGTGTATAACAAGTTCAATACAACAGACTCTTTAAAAACAGCTTTTTCTCCAACTGCAATTAGGAGACTACACTAATGTAATAAATGAAAATAAAAATGCCCTGCTTTTAATATTAAATAACTTTGCAGTTATAGTTAGAAACCTTATGATGAAAGGGATTCTGCATCTTTAAAATGCCTAAAAGCTTTGAGTATATATGATCAGTGTTAGAACCTGCTTTTTTTGAGCTGTACAGGTGAAGTGTAGGAGGTAAAAGACTGGTTATTATAAAATATTCTCCTTGAAATCTAAAACAGCCTTGATTTTTTGGTATTGCTTTTAAAAAAGATGCTGCTTATCTTTTAAGAACTTACGTTTCCAATGGCCAGTAGTTGGAACTAGCATGACATAACAAAGATGTAATGTTTTCCATCGAGGCTTAGGAGCGAATAACATCCTTGACATAGAATGCCACTTGAGGAATCAATCATTTCAGCTCATTAATTTCATGTATTACTCATTCATGCTGTATGCTGTCAGTAACCATGAAGTTGAAAGTCCAAAGGCATGTGCTGTGAGTCATGTGGATTTCTACTCCAGCAAGGTTAATGTAACATACAGTGGCTGGGGAGGGATTCTCCTGTGCTTCATAAGACTGAAAGCCTAAAGGTCCCTGCATTGACTGTTAAGCTGGGATTCAGCATTAGCAGGGCCTGTTCTCCAGGTAATGAATGTGTAGCGAGTGCACTGTCTGGGAACAATAGCCCTGTTCCATGGGTAAAGATAAAAGGGCTATGAGCTTTGTCCTGCAGAACAGTGGGTGGTCCTTAATGGTGCAAGTAGATATGTTGTAAAAACGCAGTGGGATTACCTGTGTAAGGAAACGCTGCTCACAGAAGTAAGAATTTGTGCATCTCCTAAGGCCCCTGGCAGACGTTACACTTAAGATGCGATGAGTCTGTTAATCACATAGCAGACAGTAACCCAGTCACACATTCAAGCAGTTAATGGCACCACAAAAAGGGAAATCAGCCACAAAAATATTACACAAAACTCTTAATGTTTTTGTGGCTGATTTTTTCCATCGTACCCTAAACTGAGCTTGTGGCTGGGTTAGGACTGCACCAGGCCCTTCAACCAGCCCAGTGCGGTCCCTGCCCACTGATGATCACAGATCACTGATTGTTAGTTGGATCCAGAACCACACTAGGGCTTCAGGTGGTCCCAGAGTTGGTTCAAGGCATGGTGTGGTCCTGTCTCCAGTTGACAATCAGCTGATGGTCGGCCAGCTCTAGGGTCTGCACTAGGACCAGTTGGACACCTGGTGCGGCTCTGGAGCCAGCTGACAATCAGCTAATTGTTGAGCACCCAGTTTTCAATTTGCTGGTGCAGAGCAGCCCAGGATCTGATCCCTGCCATGTATGTATGACCTGGCAGGAAGCACAATTGTTGGGATTGGGAACCAGATCCCATTGTGCCTTTAAACAAACATCTGTCAGCAGCCTAAGTTTAAACTAAAGCTAACAGAGGGCTATGGCAGTGAATCCAGCACCACCACTAAAAGTGTCTCATTGCCTCATCAGAACTAGGTCAAGGGAAGAACTGGAAGATGGATGAAATCAAGGCAAAGTGAGGAAGTGGGGCAGGTAGGTGGGTTACCTGCTGCCGTATTGGCTCCTTGTTGGTCTTACACTAGGTCTATCCCTGCTCCATCAGTGGATACAGACAATCTCTTAACCTTTTGATATAATGTGACTCTCAGAAGCTAGCTAGCTATTTATTTAAATATATATAATTTATAATTTTGTCATCACAAAGCTTTGATATTTTTAATAGAAATATATTATATGAAAGTTTGTTCTCAGGGCTTCATATTTATACTGTCTTTATAGGGGGGTACATTTAAGGGGGTGTATTTAAAAAATTTTTTAAAAAAGCTAGTAGTTACTTTGCAATTTCAATGTTGGTTGGTCTTGACCTGTAAAACCAAACTAGCTCAATACCCCTAGTGAGGCTACAGTCATATGCAGGGCCAAGAATCTGCCTTTTCTTCTTTCCCCAGAGTGTGGGTTTCCTTTGAGATTTGATGCCTTGCGAGGTAGAAATGACCATGCCAGAATACACGGCAGCTTTGCACCTCGTTGCTCTTTACACAGTTCCAAGGTTGTTTCTGCTTTGTGCACAGAGGGAAATAGAAAACCAGTTCCCACTGCTCTTGGCAGAGTAGACTTTAGCCCTGCACTCCGCGCAAAGGGCGAGGTGAGCTGCCACACAAGCTTTAAAACCTGCCAGCCGATTGCTCCACAATTAGCCATTTGCAGCCTGTCTGTCACAGTGTGACCCAGACCCCCCCCCCCCCC